CTTGTGGAATATGTTGCCAGTAGAGTAAAAACAATTGCAAAATAAAAATGAAGTAAAATATACAAATTGAAAAAAAATGAACAATAAAAAGTGCACAGCAAAAAATCTAATTCATAAGTACTTACTAACAATAAGAGCAATTAGTCTGATAAGCCTCTTTTGGAAAATTGGTTTGACTTGTGAGGAAATACTAAATAATATTAAAAAAAGTTGAAAATCCGCCCCTGCCCGGAACAAGTATCGCAGCGAGAACAGGAAACAAATTTCACTGGCTCGTCGGCCCATCACTCGAATGTGCCCCAGCAGAAATGTTTGAGTGAGCAGTGCCATTATAAATTAGCTCTGCAGCCGCGAAATGTGTGCAACTTGGAGTGGACAGCGACAAATGGCTTTTTGTTTACGCCAGCGTCGCGCAATCGCAGGCGGATGGTCCGTCCACTCGCTCTTTCGCTTGCAGTTGAATAAAATCCGGCTTTGTGCAAAAATGGTGTGAGCGTCCATATTTTTTAATTTAATTCCATCAGACCGCCGCACGCCGCCGGAGATAAATCACCGGGCACGCCTCTGCTGCTGTATAATGGTGAAAAATTAAGAGCAGCCGAGCTATGCTGCTTTGTAATCCGGCTGACTGTCCTGAAAGCACCGGATTTTCTATTTAAACGCTTCCCAGGAAAGACACGCAAAATGCGATTTGACACTTGCAACGCAGCCAGTGAATTTTCTCCTTGCTTTTTTTCCCTCAATATGACAACGTAATTTAAAAATTAAATTACTCAAATTTTAATGATTTAAATTTTCAAAGGAGGTTTGATTGAATCCCGAAAAGTAAAAATGAAATGAATTTTTTTAATTACTAAAGCATAAAATATATTTTATGAATTTACATACAAGGTAAATAGATTGAAGTCTAATGTTTTTTTTTGGAAGGTATTTTTATTTTTACATTATTGGTGTCGGAATTACCATACCTGTGCAGTTGAGAGCAAATTTCGAAAATTTTATATAAAGAATAAAAGAATGTACAGCGAATTTTAAGAATATGATGTCCACATTCTATATAAATTAGACTAATTTATTAACTAATTTAATTAGTTAAAGAGCTTGTCCAAAGCCGCAGAAAGAGAAAAAAGCTTTTTTTTATTCTACAATTAGTAAGAAAAAAAATCTCGATAAAACATAATATGGCACTCATACTTAATTGGGAAGTAAAAAAACTAAATACATAATTTAAATATAATTAAATTCAATATTACATTTATCATCCTTTCAAAGAGAGCCAGCATTGACTGTTTATAAATATTGTATAAAATATGGATGATATATTTGGGCGAGAATGCCTGGTAATACTTTTAATTTTAAAAATTTATTTGAGACTAATGTCTAAAATGCTATTATCAATATAATTATTTCTAATCACAATTTAAAGAAAATATTGAGATTATGGCAGTGATTTTTTACATATTTTCATATAGCTTTTTATTATTTTAAATAAGCCTTGCGCAAAAGTCATAATTTGATCTTAATTTCCAAAATATCATCTTGCATTACAAACGCATGAATTAAATTGCAATTTCTAATTAACAAATGTCTTTATTGATCAGAAAAGAATTTAAAAGAAAGCGTTCACACATTTAATTAAGGAAAATTCGGAGGTTCTATTTAGTGAAAACTCTTGTTTTAGAGATACGAATCCGTAGCTAATTATTGTAAAAGTCTTTAGGACACGTTTCGCAACTCTTGTCTGGCGCTAGAAATGTTGCGGAGGCCGCAATGTTTCGCCCCGCACAAGATAAATTACTTTGCTCGCCAGCGGTGCAATGTTAACAAAAAGAGAGCCTGTGCGAAGATAAAATATCGCGCGAGCGGGGGACCTTTGGGGGAACGAAGCGTGCTGCAGATTTGGGCCAAACTCTTGCATACCAGAATCGTTATCTGGAGCCACGTCTCGAGAGGGCTTTGTTCTTTATCTGCCGAGGGAGTCGGAGGTGCTCAAAGGTCGCCGGCCCGCCGCTTAAATCACCCGCAAAACAACACACTGACCATAAATATCGATTCATTCACAAATCCCCTCGCTCTCTGATGCATGAATTCGCCAGCGTGCTTTTGACAGCGGCTGTCATTGACCTGATTCCCTCCCTGCAAACAGGTTTAATGAAGATGTGAAATGTGCGCGCTTCGTGCTTGCCATTTACTTCTGACAGCTTATTTATTTGTTGCAAAATCCTGACAAATTTCTGCTGCTTCATCAACCAAATATTCCAATCACCTTTTTAATAACATCCTACAAAACAATATTATTAAAAACCTCATGTTCTCAGGTTACTATAGAACTAAATAAGAAAATCTTTCAAGTAGAATCGAACTCAAATAAAATTTGTCCCAGAATTAAATTATTTACAATGGAAAATTGAATTTTACATGGCTTTTGTAATATGTATAGAACATCAACAATTTTTTTCAACTTTACTTTTGTTCCCTTTTTCGTAAGTAAAATTGAAGGAATATAGCGGAATAAAGATATTTATTCTTAAAATCCACCCTGAGTTTTGCTTTGTAAAAAAGTAAACTATTTTCTTCCCCCCTTAAAACTTGCATGCTCAAACCCACATAATTGTATATTTTTATTTGTAAATTTTCTTTCTTGAGCCTTCCCACTAGCAAATATGCTATGGTTGACCTCTGGGAAGCTTCGAGCATGACCTGGCTAATGATATTGTTGACAGGAACACGGCTCATATGTTCTGAGCTTATTACCAAAAACGAATCATGCAATTTTGATGTGTTTACTTCCTCTTATAGTGAAAGAGGAAAGTCCAGCATCCGGAGAAGCGGCAGGAGATAGAAAACGCATGTTGAAGAAAAGTGATGTCAGCTGGAATCAAAAGACCAATCAGCACAGCCCCCGGACAAAAAACCGAGCCCTCCCTGTCGTCCTATATAGAAAATAAATCACAATTTTTGCAGAGAGAACACGCCAGAAGAAGAGCAAATAAATTTCTGTCCTGCTAAGAACATTTTTCTCCGAAAAACGCTCAATTATGAAATTAACTTGAAGCTGATGCTTGATTAAAGGGTGTTCGAGGTTCAAGGTATTCAAAGGAAAAATATATGATATTTCGTGATATTTCATCCTTATAATTTTTTGATTCTTTATTATTTTATTTCAAAAAAATGTTTGATGGGACAACAATTCAGCCTCATCCCCCCCATGCAATTTTTGATGTTTTTACTTGGTTTTCTAATAATATGCATTTTTCAGAATTGAATTTTTTTCTAATAATTTAAAAGATTCAACGTTCAGGACAAGCTTTCTGGAAATTTTTCAGTCCGTGTACTACACACAAATTTATCAAAATTTTAATGAATTTTCTTGAATATAAATCTTTAGATTTCTTTTTTTAATGTAAAATTATAATTTTAATAATAAGAATAAGACCAGATTTTTTAATATTTACCCTGATTTAAAACCACTGATTAAAATATTTAATGGGCTTTTAAAATATTTGAATTTACACTTTACAGGGAAAAAACTGAATAGAAATAAGAATTTTGTTTCTATTTTGGTCAGTCAATTAAAAAATGTGGAAGTTTAGAAATGCCCTTTAAAAGTGAGTGTTTTATTATCTTCATTTAACTGCCAACCTAATTTTGTGCTTTTTATTGTAGTAATTTTTGCATTGCACTAGGTCGCCTTAAGTGGAGCAAAATCAATCGGAGCATTAGTGATGCAATAAAGGGCAGCAAAGCGTGTGAGGTGGCGATGCGATCAGTGACGATGCAATTAATCAGCTGCGAGGAAACGGTTACAAAATAAATAGCACATCGACGACGCACACAAATACCGGAGCGCGAAATGCCTGAATAATTATTGTCGCAGCAGCAGGGTGCCTGCATCAAGGCGCTCTAATCAAGCCTGTCTTGCTTGGAATTATGGCTGAGAGTGAAAATCAAGTTCACGCTCCAAAACGCGGCTGCACTTGAAAATTAATTTGCACTTCCGCACACTCCAACGAGCATATGTAATCACAACATTCTTCACTCGACGACCGCGGGCGTTGAAAAACTCAGACACAATTCAAAATGATGAAATTAGTCTCAGTCAGGGGTCCAAATTTTCACCAGAATCGAAAGGGATCGAGTGCTTATATTTTTGCAGTTGTGTGAAAATCATATAATATGGTGATATTTTAAATATTTTAACTTAATTATAATAAAAATAGTTAAGTTTTTGGAATTGTCCAAAACCGTTTTAAAAAAATAAACATTAAATAGATACTCACAGTATGATGCGAAACTTGTTGACAACCGCCAAGAGGGATAGAGTCTTCCAAAATAACTGCGAAAAATATTCAAATCGATAATTAATGTTACATTCTTCATGTGCATAAAAAAATGTTTATAAATTCCATAATATATTTATGCATTATAAAGATTTTGATGCTATGAAAAACTCTGAAAAATTTATTTACTTCAATTTAAAAAAAATATTTTCAAATATTTAATTCATTCTTCAATGATGCGTGTTGCTGGGGGTGCTTAAAATTTTTTGACCCCTCCAAACTTTTGAAAAGACACAGTAATTTTATTATTATTTTTTGAATTTCAAAAGAAAAATGTATGGAAAATAATAAAAATTTAAATTTCCTTGAAAGTGAATGAATGAGAGTTATGATGCGACGTAATAAAATCTTCAGGCTTCAATACCTTTCAAAAATCGAGCGGCGTCTTACCCTAACAAGAAGTGAATGAGGAATCATTTCATTCCTTTCTCATGCCCCATGTGCTGACTTCAACAAGAGCAGACTTGTTTGCTCTCATCAGAGCGCCGAGCGGCGAACACAAACAGTTCAAGAAGAATTCTGATTGGTCGGATGAGTTGGATCAGAGGATTTTGAAAGAAATTCCTGCAGCGACTTGATCCTGACCGCCAAGATCCGCAGTCAGCCATGCAGCGAAGACTCTCTACTCTCTCTACACCACCAGCCTGCTCAGATGACACACATGTATGCTGAAAAATGGCGAATTCTCATCTTGAAGTTGGGGAGCCACTATTCTTGGCCCCGTTTTTGTCTCGCCGGAAGCGAAGAGTGAAGACGACGAGCGTTTATGTAAGTAGTCGGATTTTGGAATCAGAAAATTGTGTTTTCATTCTTGCTTTACATTTCCAGTGACTTATTTGACTCCGATTGTGGTATTTTTGATGATTTTGGCGTGTTATTGTGATCGAAGTGCTCACCAGGATTGAAAATCCATCGACCAGACCACCACAAGTGCGTCGTCCTGCGTGGATTTGCGGCGGATCGCGACGTGTTGCTGACTGACGATCTCGTCCAGAAAGGTGAGTACAATTACAATAATTACATTTATTCAGCAAGATTTCATTCGTTGATGTAAAATTCCATTGAAAATGATAAAAAAATTTCCTCTATTCAGCTAATTAATAAATAACTCGCACTCGAAAATAAAAAAATTATGTAATTAGGGTATTACAAAAGGTCATTTGTTACAAATTTGCTTCAGCAGAAGCAACTCATAATGTAATGTTTAAAATCAGCCTAAATTTTTCGTAACTACTTATTTTAACAATAATTGAGGAAAAGCATTAGAAACTGCTTTTCAATGTAAATAGTATGAAAATTATCTGAAATCACTTGGATCGAATGTTGCAAACGTTTGAACTTTGGATTTGGCGTTTTACAATTAAAGCCGTCGCGAAATTGAATAATCGGCGTGGCTTGTTCGGACTTGTGCATAAATGACGAGGCCCAAATATGCGTGCCATTGTGCCCCGATGGGCCGCCGCGTTAAATTAGACTCGCCTAGCAAATGCAAATTTCACGGTCGCCGCGCTTATGCGAGAAAAAGCGGCGAATCTCGCGGGGCGAAAACGCAAACAATTACACATGCGTGTGTGTGTTTGCCATTCGAGTGCAAATATGCGAGCCACATGGGCATACCTGCGCCAAATTAAAATTAATCGTCGGCCGGCCGACGGACGGGAGCGCAACTAGCTATGCATAATATTCGCGCACGACGGAACCAACCATTAAAGGCGCGCGTTATTGTTTGCGCGCACTAATTAATGGCGCTCACTGCTTTGTCATTTAATTGCACTACTATTAATACAAACGTATGCAATTTCATTACGTGCATTATTCTAGCGTCGCGATTGCTCTCTTTGTGGTGCTCATTCCGGTCTGCCTGAAACGACCGATTGAGAGAGCAGAGCGCTTGTTGAAAAACATTGTACTTGTTGGATTGTCCAACGCCGCGTTTATTTCCATCTGATACCATTTTCATAAGCCAGATACATTGTAAACAATGGAAAATGAGATTGTTATGGCAGTTATTTTAATAAAATGAATTATCCGCAATTATCTTGTCTGCAATTAATAATATTTTTTTTAAATGAATCATATTATGCTGGGGACAAAGAGATTGACCTTTTGTTGATTTTTTTTTTAAATCTAATTTAATACCATTGCATTCAATGAAATTTTTTATGGCTTTAAAATAATTATTGTTGGTTTTTTCCAAATTTTTTCCATTTAATTGTTGAAAACAATTTTTTTGAAATAAAAGGCACTTGCAACAATTTTACTAAAACTTCCAAGCTGTAATAAATAGTTTCAAATTTAAAATGCGCTAATATTTTAAAATTTGTATCTTCTCCGAGTATATAAAATTAACATTTCTGTAAAATAACAAAATTTCCGAAAATTTCTAGGGCCTCATTTGTTGCTTTTGAATTTTTTATTTAAAAAAAAGGCCTAGTTTTGCCGAAACAAAATCCACTTGAAGGCAACATAACTATGGCCTAATCTGTGATGTGTGTTTACAGGCACAATTGAGAAACTAAAACAATAAATTTTGTTTGAAGAAGTTGACACTCGAGGAGATGGTCATGGAAATGAAGGAGTCGGGTTTTTTTTCGTAAAAATGGTTTTTATTCAAAAACAAATGGTTTCGGTCACGGACTGCAACCCTATTTCATGGGCAAGAAAAATAAAAAAATCAGAAAAATTGAAAATACACCACATTTTAACATATACAATTTAATTTGTTTTTTAATAATAATAAAAAAAAAATTCTTTAACGAGGAAAAAGCCAGTCTCCTTCATTTCCAAAAAATTCTTATTTTTAATTAAATTATTTCAAAATTTGAAACCATTTTTCTCGCTACTGAAATCCACTTGCCAACATAATGTGTGTTGAGCCTAAAGTTGCAACAGCCTTGTGTTGCTACGTGACCATTATTGCACCGGTTTCCTCTGCACATGTGACAATTGAGAGAGAGACACACACACGTTCCAAATCCTCTCGGGGTGCTTATTAACATCTAGGGGGGTCGACTTGCATTTGCATCACGGACAAAGTTTGAATGATCTTTGAGACTGACGCCCCTGGTGGCCCTCATAATTAAAGTTAATATTGCACTCGGTCCGTGTGTGTTTGTGTCATGTTACCTTCCTTCGCAACGCCTTGCACAACTTTGCATACCAAACACGCTTCGGCTGCACTCCTTCACACAACAAACTTAACTTAGTTCGGTGCGCGTGCAAGTAAATTAGGAATACAAACTGGCAACGTGAGCGAGCGAGCGACCTGTTTTCGCAATTTGAATTTCTTCCCACACAACGCCAAGATTAGCATAACTTGTATGTATATAAATTCTTGTATGTACCTAACTTCCGCGTTTCATCAAATTTGAGGCAAACACAAAAGTCGAAAGTGATGCGTCGGTGCGTTTTTGAAACTTGAAACTCGTCAAATTTTCTTCCTTATCTGCACTGACGTCAAATGGAAATTTCAAGATGACGTTGAATTTACTTGGAGATGACTCGGCAAAAATATATCACAATTTTTACTAATTAAAGGAGATATATTTTTATTTTTACTTTGAATAATTTGACTAGTACAGAGTTGTAAAACAGCTAAATGAAGACATTACTTGCACAGAAAATGGTGAAAATACGTTTTATAAAAAAAATCATCATCTCATTTTTCTTATTTATTTCATGTCACTACGTAATATGTGAGTGCCATTTTTTTTTTTGATAACCGTGGATTATTGGACGCCGTGAGATGGTGTTAATCAGAAAGAGAGAACAGTACACGCGCTTTTGTTCTCCATTACGCGCAGAGAGCAAAAGCAGGTAAAACGAAAAGCAGCTCCGGTCGGTTTCGCATTTTTTTTTTATTCAGCCGGCGGCTCTGGATTTGCGAGGAACAAAAGTTGCGACTGGAAATGGCTGCTAGTTATTTGGAATGTGCGACACACGGCATTGTTATTTTTGCGCTGCCTTTGTATTTCTATACATCCAAATGAATGAAAGTGGTGTGTGTGTGTAGTGCGCCTACCACAAAGCATTATCTAGTTCTGCAGCTACAAACACACATGAAGCTTTACTCTCTCTCTCTTCCCTCGGAACAGACGAACTGCTATTTATGTACACCACGCCGCTCTCTCGCAGTTTTCGTTTTTGTTTCGACGGCGGTATTGCGTGTTGTCTGCCGCGAAATTAGCTTGGAAATCTACTTTGTATGTGTGTGTGTGAACAAATCCAGATGAATTCCGAATTGTAGCGCGCGCGGCTGAATTACCCTGTTTACATTGGAGGAAACACAAATTGAGCGTCATTTGCATTATTCCCTTGTAATTGGACTTGTACAAAATAATTCTCGTTTCCAAGTCCGTGAGTTTAATTATCTGATGAAAGTGGCTTTTTGATTGTGCGGCTAAATTTACTGCGGATAAAACGTATAATAATTTCCTGAGTATTTTCTTTTCTTGTTCCCCCCCCCCCCCACAGTAAATACAAATTTAAAACTTATCATTTGTGATATTTTTTATTAAATTTATTGCAATCTTTCATGAAATCCACCTCGAGTGTTACCATTCAACTTTAAAAATGTTATAAATTATTGTAAATTTGACAATATAACTTAAACATTAAAAAAGTTTTCCATTTTTGGGTTTTATTAATAATTATATGTTTTATTAAATGTCACAATAGGATTATAATATTTATAATTTACTTGTGTACAAATTAGTTACAAAAAATAAACACATATAAGAATTATTTGATCAAATCTTATGGCCACGGAAATAATTTGTGCGTAAAATAGACAGACTGAACTTGAAGTGAAAAAATTGTTGACAAAGTGTTTTTATTTGAGAGAAAACCACGAGGTGAAAGAAATGGAAAATTTAAATTTAAATATAGCATTAAGATGGATAAACAAGTGCAATTTATCATAATCGTATGAAATATTCATTGAGGGCAGAGATGCTTTTAGTGAGCAGCAGCTAGTAAAATATCATCAAATGCATATTACCCGTTGCTGCTCCCACGGGTTCGGAATTAAACGATGGCGGATGGTCTTGGCAAGCATCTCGGCCGCTTTTTGCTCTTCAGCCTCTTGCTGTGCGCTGTTGTATTAAGAGGTGCATCCTGCTGTGCAAATCTCAAGCGGCTGTTTTTCCACTATAATGAGAGAGCAAACCCACTTTTATCAACAAGCACAACAGCGCTCATGAAAAATTGCATCAAGCGTCTCTAGGAATTTCCCAGTAAAAAAGACAATCGCTTTTTAGAAGATAATAAAAGAGGAAAAAACCATAATAATAGTGAGTGTACATCCCCCCAACCAATTAATTCAATAGCTCGCCTTCTATTTTTTTTAAGCAGATTCTACCTTTGCTCTAAAAATATTAAATGCGGAAGTTCAAAAAATATTTATCAAATTATGAAACTTTAACAAAACACTTTTGAACTTGAAAATTACACCGCATGAAACTAAAATTGTGAAATAAATATTTCAATATTTCATCTGTCAACTCCATTAATATTTGTTAGATCATAGATGATTATAATAATAGATAACATAAAAATTGCCATTTTATGAACACTCTTTAATTACCTTAAAGTCTAGCTTGTAAAGAGAGATATCTCGCATCAAATTTGAACGTCTTTTAAACTTTCAAACATTGAAAATAGGGATTATTTGGAAACTTCTACTGGATAATGATTAATGAAGAGTAAATGATATTAATGATATTATATAATTAAAATTTTTCAGAATTAATCAAAAAGTTTACAGTATATATCAACCTCCAATTTAATATTACGCAGACAATTTTATAACGTGATTTCATCTTAATGTTGAAAGTGCCTAGGCAATCCCCTATTCAATTTCACATAAGAGCGCCGAACTCCATCATCGTACGTCAGGTCTGCGCTATTAGTTCAGAAAGAAGAGCTCAGCTCTTTTGACCGACGGAAAAGTGCACTCTTCCTCGAGTTGATGCGATCTAAATTAGCTCGAGCTCTAGCT